GAAGTCCGAAGACAGATATATACAGCAGGTGGCAAGGAGAGAACGCTGGCACAATAACAATGTGCAGGAGGCGCTACCACGCTAGATATGATGGTGACGGGAGAAGGAGATACATGAGGAGCATCTAGCCACCCACACGTTTAATAAGTGGAGTTGTCAAAGTCTCTGTACCAGCGTACTCACTGAACAAACCTAGACCTCACAAAAATCAGCAGCTTTTTGTTACCAAAGAAAAACATCATCAAAAGGGGCCCAAGGTTACAGCTGTTAGGAGACATCTAAATTGTGGACGACGGTTCAGGAGCAGAATGTATATGATGCCATGTAACTGCTAAATTAAAAGGATCAATATATTGCATTGAGTTGACAAATTGAGCGTCGTGGGCATCTTTAATAGAGTTAAATTATCGTCTGGGTCTCATCTCTCAAGCCATTCAGAGATTTGATGGAAAACTAACTCTATCTTATCCATAAAATTGGATTCTTAGCATATATTCGAACACTTTGTGGTGTTGTATGTTTTTTAAATACAGCACATGAGCACGACGTTTTCCTATCTAGATTGTCCCAATCTCTGAAGAATGCCCGTTTTATTATGAACTAGAAGCTAGTTGTCCCAATTCTAACACTTTGTGGTGTTGTATGCTAATGATTACCATTAAAAAATAACATCATGGAATCATAAAATAAATCCAAGAAAATACAAGCAACCATACCAAGGTCAAGACTTGAATCCAATTTCCATTACAATGAACTAACCAACTAAGCTACACTTATCGTGTTTTACGAAATACTCCTTATCTCTTGTGAGAATTGCCATAACCCTGGCGAGCACTGCTACAGAGAAAAGCTTATCTGACAGCTAATCAACCATGGTTCCTTCTCACCTCATTAATTGCTAAACTATAAGCCATATGAAATCATTTGTTTACCTTAGTTCTACTTAAAAAACTATATTCATGGTTCGGAAACATCGTCATAAAGAAACACACGTCTTTTATGGTTTTTTACTCGAGATTGGCAAATAAAAGCGTAGTGCATAACCAATTTACTCAAAATCAGTAGGGGTAGCTTGGTTCCTAGCCATAATTTACCATAACTAACATTATGAAAGTGTGGCAAGCTAGAAAATTTGGAGATTGTTTGGTTCTACGCCACCGTTTGCCATGCCACGACCAGCGGGGATGCAACCAAATGAAGAAGGCTCATGTTTGGTCGATGAAAAAGCTGAGGCAGCAGCGGATAAAAGAGAGTACGAACTCGTCACAGTGTGGCGTTGGTTTTTTGTGCCACAGCCATGGTGCCGCCACACATGGAGCGTGGCAAGCTGTGGCCCACAACCAAACAGCCCCTTGGACACACACTTTGCCATTTTTAACAGAATCTTGTTACATTTTTACTCTATGACACTATGACATGTGGAGCCTAAAAAGCTATTTCCTAAATTTAGCTGTGTGAACCAAACACTTGTCAACTTGGTCAAAGTTGCCTAAGGTGAAGTGTGGTAAAATGTAGCTAGCAACTAAACACCTCCTAAGAGACAACCACAAGAATGAAGCAACAAATTAAGCTTTAGGAAAACAAGGTCATCACCAATATGGATCAGAGAAGTAATAGCTCATCATCTCTTAACGGTTGTTTGGTAAAAGTCCTAGAGCAATTTCTAGACTAAATCCGGGGGAGCTCCACTAAATGGGGTAGTTTTTCTTATAAGTGATTATGTATTGATTTCATGAAGTGTTTCTCTTAAATAAACTATAAGGCTGGGAGGTAAAAAAGGAAGCTTGTCGTGATTCACTTGGTGCACAGAATCACCTATCGTATAGAATCATAAAGAATCAATTTCAGAGTCCAGACAGGAACATTTCTCTCAAAGAATCATAGTTAGAATTAGGAGGAGCTCTATCAGACAGCCCATAGTGCTCTTTCCTATCTAGATTGTCCTAATCTCTGAAGAATGCCCGTGTTTTTATTATGAACTAGAAGCTAGTTGGCAGTTGTTGAAAGAGATCGACGACGTTTACTTGCTTCTGGTCTTACTTTTATTTTATTTTTTCTTTGGGAACGAGCTAGTCTCACTTCGAAGTACTGAGATGGTCATCATAGCAGCACGCATGATTGCCCCAAGAATTACCTGAAACATTGACCAACAAATGAAGAACTGTTGCACTGCTACTAAAAATGCCCAATAATCAAACTTAAAACTGCTGCTCGATGGATCTGAATTCTAATCTTGTGGTGGTAATCTTCTTCACACTGTTGTTCCTGTGTGACTGGACTCTGATGGAGCACACGTCAGATTGGAAGCATCGAGAATTAGCATCTATCAGCCTTGAACAACTGGGTCATCACAAAAGTCGCAAACTTTATTCATCGGCCTAACGATGGTGAGTTTCAGGGTCCATATATGAATCATGCATGCCGAAAATGTTGACGAGAGTAACGCGTCCATTGAATTCGCGGCTGCAGAGCTCGTGAAACATAAACGGACGCAATAGGCCAATAAGCCAATAGGTAACGGCTGATGTTCTAGTCCACCAAGTTGGTATTACTTTTTTTTCGAACACACCTTTCATAGATCATAGATTGATCCGGTAAATATGTCGACATTGATGAAATTAGCATAGACATATTATTGTCGACGGACAATCACCTATCACTTTAGCGCCATTAAATCCTAGTATAAGAATACGAGCACCCTTGCTAAATTAAAATACTTGATCAAAATCGAGTTTTACTACTAGGAAGTTTGAAGCAATTTGATAAAATATTTGTATGTATTTCTTAATAGAGATCATAGTATTATATTTTGGTCATTCTTTATAATGGAAGGGGAACAAGGTGCTTCTGTTTTGCTTTGTGTATGCTTTAATTGTTTTATAAGGGATCAATTTTTATTTTCCATTGTAATTTTGTTTAGTCCCTGATTAGAACCACAGATTACAAAGCCAAGACACAAGCTCTGAGAGACAACCACCGATGATGAACCAAAAAGAGCAATCCCAGAATAACTTATTTGTTAGTCATACCATGGACATTACACATTCACACCACTCCTTGTGGCTACGCCGCTCTTCTCCTGAGGGGCCGCCCAATGAAATGGGGACAAAAGGTGACGAGCAAACTGAATCTCACCAAACACGATAATTTCCCTTCAAACTATAGATACAACACATCCAGACTCCATATACAACCATCCAACTTCATATAGTATGAGGATGCCTCGAACGAGAACAACAGAAGAGGTGGATTGAACACCACCTCTAGCACTTGATTTGGTAAATGCCACCAATACAGACGTCAACGGAGCAGAGGCGCCAAAGGAGTACACTCGCCAAACCAACGGGGCCCATCAACCAACATCAACCACATGCCCAAGAACTGTACTTCTTTGCATAGATGAAATGAGAAAGCAGGATATATACACTCAATTAAGAAGCTCCAACGACCAAGGAGCTTGCCAAGGGAAGAACCATGAGTCGGGGCCAAAGCATGGCGAAAGAGCTAACACCATACCACAATGACCAGGGTGTGGTGGTTGAAGGAAGTTGAATGGCACAACCGTCTTCACCACAACTAGCTAGGGCGAGGAGTCCAAACCAAAGCCCCTCATCTGTACGTTACACCATTGTAACTTATGGTCCACTTAAGATTTCGTTTAGCTACACTCTAATCTAACTCAATATGGATACGGTGAAAATCTAGTTGTTTTTATATCCCAATATATGTGGATTGTGGCAGATTGAAGTGGCTAGATAAACTCAATGTGTTGACTTCTCATCGATGGCATGTAAAGGTTGGATGTTATTTTATAATGGTATATATAGGTCAGATATGCAAAGAATTTGCAACCGAGTTATATCTTTGGTTTAAGACTCCTTACTTTTTTTCTAACATAATATAAAGATGTATAAAAATGACACGAGACTTTTCTCTCTCTCTATAGCTACAGCGCACGTTGATGCCCCATGATATCCGGCCCAACTCTGGCAGGAATAAGGGTCCGACCCTAACCTAACTTTAGCCCGTGCAACTCCTGAAATGCCGAAAGGCCTACAGTGCGAGGCCCTCATGCATCACATATTTTTCATTTCGCTTGGTTCATTTATTCACGAAAATAAAAAGGCAACAATTGGAGTTGGCATCACCTTCACATCTGACCAAACTGCACCCTGAAAACATCGCATTTCTCGGTTTCATATACTCCACAAAACTGCAGCACGTACAAGACATGTTTTAAAGTGATATGCTTTTTTTTAAAAAAAAAATAGAGTGATATGTTTTATATTGCTAAGCAACGAGACTCAATGTTTACCCCAACTTGTTTACCAAAAAATTCAATCATCTACCAGATTTCTTCTTTTCACTCAAACCGTGCATCAAATGCAGCTAATTGGCGCGTCCAGTCACTAGAAGCAAGCACAGCTAGACATACCCCCTCAACGAGTAACCTGCAGGTAATTGGCGCAAGGTCGAATTTCATGGGCGCCACACCGGTCCGCGCCTCCCAGGTCCGTCAAGCAAGCATCAACCGAAAGTCGGGCAGGCCATGGCTGGTGGCTGCATGGCGCGGAGATGCTCTGGATAAGGAGGCATCCATTGTTTTGGTTGTCCTAATTTTTAGTATTTTCTTCCGGCGTCCCGGCGACTGATACCGTGATAGTGGCGTGGGCGCCCACCGCCCGCGTCGATCGGACGCGGTCGTCCATCCCACGGCCTCCATCGCCCGGAACCGCCGCATCTCTCTCCCGCCGCTTGCTTTGGCCCCGTTCGCTTCGCTGAAAAGTTATAGCTGAAAATACCATTTGCTGATTTATTATGAGAGAAAAACACTGTTATTTCGCTGAAACAATACGACTCGTAAGACAAGAGGGCCTTTAAAATGCCCGTGCTCGAGGAAGGAGGGTCATCATCATCACTCCACTCACCAGCGGAGACGGGTTGCTGCCCCCGACCCCCGTGCGGTAGAGCTCGAGCACTCGACACCAGCGTCCAGCAGGATGGCGAGCCTGACGGTGCCGCCGGTGCCGACGTGGCCGCGGCAGGACGCGATCGACCTCCACAAGGCGTTCCGAGGGTTCGGGTGCGACAGCACGACGGTGATCAGCATCCTGGCGCACCGCGACGCGGCGCAGCGCGCGGCGATCCAGCAGGAGTACCGCGCCGTGTTCAACCAGGACCTTGCCCGTCGCATCGCGTCGGAGCTCAGCGGCAACCACAAGCGCGCCATGCTGCTGTGGGTCCTGGACCCGGCCACGCGCGACGCCACCATCCTGAAGCAGGCCCTCACCGGCGACGTCACCAACCTGCGCGCCGCCACGGAGGTGGTCTGCTCCCGAACGCCGTCGCAGCTGCGGGTCGTGCGGCAGGCGTACCGCGCCAGGTTCGGCTGCCACGTCGAGCAAGACGTGACCGAGCGGACCTCGGGAGACCACCAGCGGCTCCTGCTCGCGTACCTGGCCGTCCCGCGCGCCGAGGGCGGCCCCGGCGAGGTGGTGGACCCGGCGGCGGTGGCGCTGGACGCGCGACCTCTACAGGGCCGGCGAGCGGCGGCTGGGCACCGACGAGCGCGCCTTCATCCGCGTCTTCAGCGAGCGGAGCTGGGCGCACATGGCGGCCGTGGCGCGCGCGTACCACCACATGTACGACCGCTCCCTGGAGCAGGCCGTCAAGAGCGAGACGTCGGGGAACTTCGGCTTCGGCCTCCTCACCGTGCTGCGCAGCGCCGACAGCCCCGCCAGGTACTTCGCCAGGGTGCTGCACAAGGCCATGAAGGGGCTGGGCACCTCGGACTCGGCGCTCATCCGGGTCGTCGTCACCAGGGCCGAGATCGACATGCAGTACATCAAGGCAGAGTACCACCGCATGTACAAGCGCTCGCTCGCCGACGCCATCCACGCCGAGACGTCCGGCAACTACCGCACATTCCTCCTCTCCCTCGTCGGCCGCGACCGCACCTACTGACGACGACCGCCATTGCCACTCGCCATCCGTCCTTAGCCATCGTGTGTGCTTGATATTCCTGTTAACTCCATGGGAATGTTCCTAGTCTTGTAAATACTCCTGCTTGTATTCTTGGAATGGTGTACTGGTTACATTGACAACTCAAAACCATCCAATATGTGTATGTCCGAAAAATATTAACAAAGACAATGGAATTATTATTATCAACTCATGAAGGACATGTACATACTCTGCATACCTGCACAATGTATACACATGACCTGTATGTACCACAAGTAGCGGTGGCTATTCATTCACTAGAAAGTTCATCTGCCCACTATCACATACAGAACAGCATTGGCCGCCATGCCCAACGTACAAGCTGCCAAAGTTCAGAGCTAGTATTATACAGCTAGTCACCGAGAGAAACAGAGCTGCCGCAACAAACATGTCGTCTTCTACACTCTTACAACAGCCAAACCGTAATTCACATTGATAGACCCGAGGGCTTCATACAGGACGCAACCAACTAGCCTCAGTCGACAGGCTTCTGGTTCGCATGCCGGGACGCCGAGTACGATTGGATCGCCGAGCTCGTCACGCCGATGGAGTGCTTCGTCAGGTCCATGCTCTTCCTTGCGGCGAACCAGATCATCCAGAAGAACCCAACCCAGCCTGCAGTAGGATGCGTTTTCTGAACATTAGCACAATGCGCACGTGGTACAAGCAAGTACTCAGACTCAGAAGGCAAAGATATGCGTCTCCCCCAACAAATGTCAAACGAGTATTCTTGCTGTAAGAAACTTCTTTGTCAAAACAGATTTTTCCGTGCTTACGTTTCTAGAAATTGGGCATCACGATCTCCATGAAATTTCTAAAGAGAGAATCGTAACTGCAGCTATTTTTGCTAAAGCTATGCCACTTTATTCCCCATTATCCAGGGGATCTAGTTTGACGTCTACTTATTCTCCACTAATTTGTGGAGAAGGTGCTGTGGTGACTACTTACTCTCCTAAAGTAAAAAAAAGGTGAAATTGACAAGAGATCCTAGACTGTTATAGCCTTTCAGAAAGTCCTATGGAGGAAATGATTTATAAGAAACGAAACTCTTTTCTTGGGATGGACGAGATGAAAATTGGAAACTCAATTTGATAAGCAGTAAATTGACCTAACCTACAAATTTTATTCACAAGTTTTAAAATGTTAGCTGTTGCATTCATAGTTCTTCCAGAATTTCAGTTCTGCTACTTTTACCTGATAATACCTTTCGAAAATCTTTAGTTTTGCAAGTTCATACTTTTCATCACAATCTTAGATGCTGACCCGGCACTAAAGGAGGAACATAATGTAATGATTTGCATTTTGCTGTCGAATCTCTTCAACTCTATTTAACACTTGTTTCTTGAACAAATTGTAACGAGATTTCAAAAGCTTTTATGAAGTAGTTTGCATGCCTCTACATGGTTGTCCTAATTATAGAAAAACAGAATATCAAAGAGAAAACCGGAAGTGGTATCAATAATTCACCAAAGTTACAATGCATAGATGCCTCAACATGGTTCTCCTAATTAGTAGCGACCACAATGTCAAGGAAAACAAGCACAATTTGTAAACAAATCACCAAAATTAAATAGTACAGACGTTCTTATGTGATTGTCCTAATGGATTAGGAAGCATACTCATTGTCACTGAAACCATATAGAACAATAACTTCTAACTTCTTCCATTGTTAGTCACCAATCATCATTGTTCTTAAAAGATCTTAAAATATTAAAACAAAAGAGTTGGTGACTATTGACAATTTACTGTTAAGCATATTTAGTTCCCAGCTATAATATACCACAACTAACCTTAGGCAAGCGTGGCAAGCCACAAAAGGGTGTGGCTAGGAATTTGGAAGCCACACTTTGTCATGCCTAAGGAAATCTTGCCACACTTTATTACCCTATGGCATGTGGAGCCCAAAAGAATCTTGCTTAAAGTTAGTCACCAACCAAACAATTGCCAAATCGGTCAAACTTGCCTAAGATGAAGTGTGGCAAATTGTGGCTAGCAACCAAACAGCCCTTATAACAATGGGCAACCAACATTTGGTTCTCAATTGTTCAAAAGCAAATTTGCATGACTCTATTCTGATTCTGATGCTAAGGCGAGAACGTAGGCACCCTGTGGGAAGTAGGCACTACTAATTTTCTGATTTCTGATCTAACTTTATTACACAGGCAAGTGTACGGATTGAGATGTTTCAGTTGAAAAAAAGGAACATTTGTTACAGTTTCACCATATTAACATTGACCAAATTAACTTCAGATGCAGAGGTGCAGAATATGTTCTATAATGGTTGGAGATTCAGGTAAAGTTATCAACAACACTACAATCTTTTACAGGGGAACAGAGATGATTTACCGGTAGCAATCGTAACTCCAACAACCGCTGAGATGACAGTAGCAGAAATGGCAAAGATAGCAACTGATACTGCTCCAATATACACTGCAACCAAGCAAGCAAAGAAGATAGCGAAGAATCCTCCTGCAGCAGCCAGTGACATCAGGACTGAGACGATGATTGCATTAGCAGTGGCAACCAGCAGGAAGAACATGAAGATCAGAAGGCCAGTCAATGCTATAAGCGTGATTGTTCCGACCTGCCAGATCAGAAAAGGGTAAAATGAGGAAAATTTATTTACTGAGAAATTTCAAGAATTCCTAAAATGGATGCCAAACTAATGCGAGGTATCATGTAAGAGTTTATATGGGATTAAAACTGCACGCAATAGCAATCTACCATGTTGTATTGCTAGCGAGAGTAATCAACCATGTTTTTGTTTCCACTTACACATGCTCCCTCCACCTTGAAATGTAGTGGATTTTGAGTTGTCTAAAGTCAAACTAAGCTAAGTTTGATAAGTTTCTTTTTAGAAACAACCAATAATATTTATGATATTAAATGAGCACTATTAAAAATCCTGATACCCTATGAAATCTATTTTTATAGTTTACCTATTTGAGGTTGTAGATGTTAATACTTTTTTAGTAAATTAGTTAAACTTAAGGTAGTTTGATTTAGGAAAAACTTAAATCTATTACAGTATATTTCAGGACAGAGCCACAGAGGGATTACAATTCAGCCTATTCTTCATTTCCCTCGAACAGATTTGGTAAACATTTTGTCCCCAGAGACCTAAAAAGTATACCAATCTAAACCAACATTGCAATGGCGACTATGACACAGTAATCCTATTGACTGATAGCACAGACTAAAACAAGTGTACCGCTAAGCAATCACCTATAAAGACTCGTTCAAGTTCCGCAAACAATGAATGAATTACAGAACATCGAGTCAGATTTAGTAATAAACAGGTCAAGAAAACCCATGCTTATGTGACGGATCAAGGAGGAGGCGCGGGCCAACCGAGATGACGAGGAAGGCGCGGAGGCCGCTGCCCCGCCTGGTCCACTCGAGCAGATCCCGCGCGGAGTTCCGGGATGCGCCCCTCAGCCGCGGCGCGGCCTCGAAGGACGCCGCCCGGAGCCGCCGGAGCAGCGGCTCGTCGTCGGGGTACCAGACGCCGTCGACGAAGCTGCGGAGGACGCCGGCGAGCGTGTCCTCCTCCTCGCCGACGCCCACCTCGCGGGCGCCGGAGGGGGCCTCGCCGTTGGTGGCGGGCTTGGCGGGGGCGGGCCCGCCCACATCCATGGCCGGAGGAGGGCGGTGGGGGCCGGGGAGGAGTCAATGCAACTGGGGCACTGGGCAGCGTCGGTACGGTGAGGGGGAACGGGAACGGATGAGGGTATGCCGCCGTGCACGTGCTGGATTTACCAAGAGGGGGCAGCCGAATTTTTTGTTTTTTTTCCTTTTTTTTTGAAATTTTTTCACAAATGTGCCTCTGGAGGTATGATTTCAAAATCTGGATCCTTAGCTCGGCGCAGGAGTAATTGGCGTTGAGCTTACACGTCTCGCCGCTAGTGAATATGGCGCCTAGGTTTTGGGGCCACGTAGGCGTCAATGAAAACGTGGCGGTGACCTGGCAGGCACCTTGGCGCCACAGATCTTGGCGCCGTAGATCTTAGCGCCGAGCCTGGCGCCAGATATCTTGGCGCCGTTCGGGCCTTACAGGTGGGTCTGTTTTCTTTCTCTCCTCCTTCCTCTCCTCCTTCCTCTCCTGTTCTCTCTCACGCCTCTGTCTCCGGCGCCGCGGCCAGCCCGCCCATCCCCGCGCGCCACGTCGCTCCGCGCCGGTAGGCGAGCCCGCCCCGAGCACCGGCGTCGCGGCCAGCCGCGCCGCGCCCCGCCCCGCCCCGTCCCGTGCCCTAGACGGCCACGACTGCGCCAGCCCCTACTGCGCCGCCCTCCCTTGCCCGCTCCACAAGGGCAGCGGGGTGCCGTTTGCCGTCCTCCTGTGGCTGCCCGCCCGCTTGGCCACTCCGGTTGCCGGCCAGGTGCACACGTGGGCGCACGACAGCTTCCCCGTCAGCCGTCTCTACCTCTTGTCGACCGGCTACGTCTCCCTTGCACTCGAGGTACATTAGTTTTTAAATTTTGTTATTTAACAGTGGTTATTAGTTGGTTAGTGTGGTAGTGATTTAGATAGGTAGAAAGATATTTAGATTGATAAGTTGATTGATGGATACTTTACATAGTTAGATATATAGTTAGTTACATAGTTATATAGTTAGTAAGATAGTTAGTTAAATAGTTATATACTTAGTTACATAGTTAGTTAGATAGTTACCTGACATAGTTAGTCAGTAGTACTTAGTAGTGAGTAGTGAATTGATAGTATCTATTTAGTTAGTTATTACATACTAGAGACCATGTACTCATTATGCTTCATTTATATTGGACTAAAGGAATTGTGCGTCCTTATGTGTATGAACTAGATGGACAACCTAGTAAGCATATATCATGAAGGCATCGTGGAAAGAGATCACTATGGATATGTTGAGTTTGTTAAGATGCAAAGCGTGCATGTGTTATTCAATGAGAAGCCTTCATTTAGTGAGTTGGTTGCAAGGGCACAG